TATATATAATCTTTTCCTCACATTTTATAACAATATTTCCTCAGAATTCATAAATCAGTTATTTTATTCAATTTGATGTATGCATGCTCACAACATTAATAGATTAAAAGTTTTACAGATTTGCGAATTCAACTGCCTAACATAAAACTAATATTTATAACTGTTATTTATGGAACTATGAGAAATTTCATTCTTCGCATTAAAAGTTCCTGAATTAATTGTTTCCTAAATTAAAGCATTTTTTTTAGCATATTCACACCTGTTAATTTAATTGTCAACAGTCAGAGCTCTACCAAAAGGAGCTCTATGGTTTAGGGTTCCGTAACTGAAAAAAATTTAAAATCGTTGATATAGAGCATTCAGCTTATATATAAAGCATACAATTTCCTATGAAAGGGATTCTATTGATCCTATGAAAGGACTACTCGAAAACAGCCGCTTAGATGAGCACAATAGAAAAAAATGTATATTGAGCTTTCTAGCCTTAGCATTCAATAGACATTCAGTTGATATAGCATTCAGCTGATACAGATAGAACATTCAGCTGGTATATGATATAGAGCATTCAGCTTAGATATAAGGCATTCAGTATCCTATGAAAGGGATCCTAATGATCCTATGAAAGGACTATTCGAAAATAGCCGCTTAGATGAGCACAATGAAGAAAAAAAATGTATCAAGCTTTCTAGCCTTAGCATTCAATAGACATTCAGCTGATATAGCATTCAATAGGCATTCAACTGATATAGTATTCAGCTGATACAGATAGAGCATTCAGCTGATATATAATATAGAGCATTCAACTTAGATATAAGGCATTCAATTTCCTATGAAAGGGATCCCATTGGATAAAGTTGGAGTACGTGACACTAATCTATTACCAACGAAAATATTACATACTAGTGGGCTGTGCCCCCTGCTCGCTAACGCGCGCCAACCCCCAAAAATTGCTACGCAATCTTACATGGTTTGCTTCGCAAACAAAGCTCGCTTCGCTCGCTGCTATCTTAGATACATTGCAAATGCACAAAATTCTAAGAATTCAAAACAATCATTCAAATCCATATAACAACTTTTTTTTAAAAAATAATTACATCTTTTTAGTAAATACTATGTCATTAAAATNTTTCCTAAAATAAATACCAAGAAGGGCGCAAAAGGCCGCAATCAGTTTCCCAGGCCACGTGATCGGGACAGTGTCTCCATAGCCAACAGTGCATAAAGTGATCTGAAAAAGCAAATATAAACATTCAGCTACTTTAACAAGAATATCCATAATTACTACCATAATTACGTTCCTCCTGGTTTTCCTTTGGGTCCTGCACTGCAGCCTGAAAAACAGGCTGGATGCTCACCATGACAATATCTGCATTTCGCCGGCTCGAATATTATTAATGAGGCAAAAGCTTATATGAAAAGCCACTTGATGTCAACCCACTACAAGCTATCCAACGGAAGAAGTAAAAAAGCACGCGTTTTGGACTAAGAACAGGTGTAAATATGAAAATATACATTCTTTTCAGCAGCAATACGAACACAACTTCATAATTCAACTTGAAGGTAATCTTCGTTAACACGTTCACGCCGGGAAAAGTGAAAATACTGGTACGGAAAAAGAGAAGATACTGGTACAAGAACTATTTCAATATTAGATAATATTCGGGAGGAGTTAATCTATTCTCAACAATAACAATTCACTGTAAGGAAATTTATCACGGCGAAGAAGCAATTCAATATAAAAATTGCATCAAAAATTCAATAAAAAATTGGTAATTATGGATTTCTATTATTCACGGAAAAAAACTAAAAAATGAAATTTATTATTACCAGCTTTTATTCCGGTGCGCTGCCAAGATGAGAGAATCTAGAGTGACCCACCGGTGGGTCACCACGGCGTGAGTCACGAGGGGTTGAGAATCTACCCCTCCTATCCGAAAAAAGTTTTCAAAAGCTACTGGAGAATTATGCTTATTTAAAAAATTTTTTTTGCAGATTATACATTTGCTTGGAAATGCATTAATAAAAAATACTTCATGAAATATTGAAAAAGATACTTAAATCGAAGCACACGATTTAATATTATCTGTTTTTAAATTACTGTGGCCTTGGCGAACAAAGAAGACTGTGGCAAACTACCTTAAAATTGTTTGCTTCAAAATGCAATATTTTTCCTATATAGCATGTTAAATTACATTATATTAATCATATTGCGTTGTGTTAATATGTTAAGAATATCATAAACGTGTAGCTGTTAGAATGATTAGATTTTCATTTTGAACAAAATTTCGCAAATAAGATTTCAATGAAATTTTAGTTCGGAAAGTAAATAATATTAATCTGAATACAGAAAGATTTGAATCTAATGAAATTTAAATTTATTTACTGAGTACATACGTTGAAAATAATAGCAACTTTCTCCTTTTTTCTTTTTAAAAAGTTATAGGTCAAAGAAAAATTAATATCAATAAAACTAATTTGTATTAAAAGTAATTTTATTTGCAAATAGGATGAGCAAGCAGCTTATTTTCGAAAATGGAACAAGAAAATTATTCTAAAAATCCAATTTAAATATTTTTGTAAGAAACGCTGGAATGTAATTTCATTTTTATATATTTATATTTTCTTTGGCTGGATGATTTCTTACAAAATACAAAAAATAGCTGCAGTTTGGTCTTTTTTTATATCAAAACCTTATTTTTAAAAGCAATCGCTGAATAATTTATTTTCTAAAACTTACTTTAAAAAGTTTATAACTATTTTGTCGACGAATATTTTATTCAAATATAACAGGAGGGAACTAGTTAGCATTACAGGTAATTTTTGAAATTCAATTTACCTGCGACAGCAGTCAAAACATCCTCCAGGGTCGACGGCTACAATTATCTTTAGGGAAGTCAACATCGAATATTTTCTACACTAATTTTTTTAAGGTAAATGGTCATTGCCCAGTAATCCCTACTCTAATTTTTAAAGGCTAACAAAAAGACTGCACAGTTATCTAAATTTACTTTGGGATGAAACATATCATTTTATAATGTAAAGATAACAATTTTTATATTGGGATGCTTTTTTATTTATAGTGGTACTGAAAACGAAAAAAAAACTTTTAACCCTTTGACTACGAATTTTAAAAAATGATTTTTTTGTCCCGTTTATTATTCTAAAGGACAAAATAGGTCACAAATAAGGCAAATTTAGTATTTAGGATTTCTCTGACAAGCGGTTATCAATTTAGAGGCTGGGACATATATGTCCCGGCCGTACTTAATGGTGGGATACATTAAGTACTCCTCTAGTGATCGACTTACTACAAGCACATCTATCATTCCCAAAAAATTTATTATATGGACTTTTTTTTACATGGTATGATAGAAGCAATCTTTGCATAACCCGACGTTACACGCTGGACAACTCATATGTGTTCTTTTTTCTATGTTCATTTTAGAAAATATGAATAAAATATGAACGGACATAACAATCCCAATGAAGGATACGAGTGGGATATATCTGTCCCAGTGCAAAATCACAATGCTATTTCATGCAAGAAACTTTTTAGCTCCATCTAGGGGATATTTGACACATGAAACATGTATACTTGGTTCGACTCGACGACTGGGACATATTACAATGAGTTTCTAAATGCTTTTCACGTCATTAGTAATTTTTAAACATTTGTTGGGACAAATGAGTCCCGTTAGTAGCCAAAGGGTTAAAGCTCCGAGCATTATCCTTCACATTGTGCTAAAGTTTGGATGGTAATTTCTACACCAAGGAGAGCTACAGGCTCGTTACCGCCTATATTTCCGAGTTACGTATCCGGTGCATTTTGAGGCCATTCAAATCAGCGTTAACAGTGTACAAAGTAAATAATGAAGTGACAGTAAATCGTGGAGACAATAAAGTTACATAAAAATAACCATAAATGGTGAAAAGATAGTAAAGATGTGGTTTGAGAGATAATAAAAATGTAAAATTATTACTAGAATAAAAATCTTTGCAAAACTCTTATTACCTTGTCAACACTATAATAACTTTGAAATTTAAATCTAAATGGTAATCACATAATAAATCTATCGTGCTACTCTAAGTACTAACACTAACGTATGTGCACAGTACACTGATTGCAACAAGAACAAATGGCCATCTTAAAAGATTCTTAGTTCTTTTTAAGCACATCAATCGTGTCGCCTTTTTCAAACACACCAGAATTGCTTACTATTATTAATATCTTATGAAATGAAGCAGATTTGAGCTTAGACATTACACAATTTCTTTTATTGAAAACAAAATTATGTGTTTGAAAATATCGCCTTGTACAATAAGTTGTTTTATGCAGCCGTACACTTTCGAACCGAAAAATGTGAAGGTAAGGAGATTGAGACTTATTTGTTTAAATTGGTATTGCAGAAATACCATCGATAGAAGTAACTTAACTCTTTCGCGCCGACTGTCACAAATACTTGCCAGCATAAAACCGTATCAACCAGGGTAAAAAGATAAAACTGGTAATCAAAGTATTTCTTTAGCAGTTTATTTGTGGGTGGAGTTATAATTGTTTGATTTATTTAGTTCACCATTACTTTGCTCAAAATAAAATTATTTAGTTATACTTTAACTAACATTGATTATATATATGATTAAACTAACAATAATTAAAGTAAAAGCACAGTAAGTCTGTCAAATTAGAACCGACTACATTTAAGTTACCGTTTTTTATTTAATTACGTCCTGATCCTGATTTTGTACGAATGCGTTTTCTGAATCACCCGTCCCCAAGGGGTTATTATTAAGTCGACCGGAAAGTTCTGTCTATGAGAGTACACGCCTCTTTTTTACAGTAATGCTAAAGGCTCTTTAAAAAGAAAGTGGTAGGGTATCTTCTCTTTTACTCAATGGTAATGATTTAGCGAAAAGAGCAAAAGCATACAAGAGGCAAAAAAGACCACTTGCATATATATTCAAACTTGTACAAAAGTTTTCGAGAAAATTAAGTGGTTCATCTGATTTATAAATTTAAGGATAAATACTGTACCACTTTTTTTTATAAAGGTACGTTTTGCATCCTTGCATAATGGGGCGTGTTCTTCAGGTGGACCTATTACTCCAACATTTCGTGAGTTGCTGCGGTGTCAGAAAAAAAGCAGGCTTACAAGATCGTTTACAGTGGAGAAATCCAGATGTATTTTTCGGTCTAATTTCATGTTTAAACAGAGACAAAAAGACTCAATATTAACTCTTAATTATCATTTTATTTGTGCTGTTCAAAGAATGACGTTTTCCTTCGTAGTGTGGAAGTCTGTGAGAGATGACTTTCGGTATTCCTTCGTTCGGGATCTTTTTTTAAGCCTAATTCATTTTCAATCTCGTCCGCGTGCTTTACATGTTAAATATATTTAATAGACGATGAAAATATAAATCTAAAGAAACACCACGTAAGTGCGGAAGGCCCTAGAGGGTTGCAATTAGTCGAAGTGGCAGTTATTTTCACCAAAAAAAAATATTCAGAGCCTGTGGAGAAATCATGAAGACACCAAGTAGAGAAAGATTATGGCTTCTATCCCTGGGATCACAGTTACAATCTAAGAGTTAGGCAAAAAAGGAATTTCAATAAAATTAAGAAGGTAGCCGAAAGGTTGTCGATGGAATAAATGTTATAAGAGAGCCGTAATGGCTCCGGGGATACAGCGTTCGCCTTTCAATTACGTGCAGCGGGTTCAAACAACGCCTCCTTTAACTGAAAGCCTCCACACGGTTTTTTATAGGTAGTCCAATCAGACCACTGTGAAGGATATCCACATTCCAAACGAGTCACTTAAAACAAAATCTAGTTAAAATAAGAAAGTGGTAGCAAATATATAACTAAAAATTTGTTTTATTTATGAATATTATTGGTTTGCCTTATTCACTTGTCAACCACTACAGATTCAATTCTCAAATATATATGATGAATTTCTCTCAATTACTTTTATAAAAGGATTTGGGTTCATGCGCACAACTGGTTCACTTTTTAAATAGTCTGCGCGGACTACTTATAAAAGACCGCGTGGAGGCTTTTTGATGTAGGAGGTGAGGGTTTAATCCCATCGATAGCTGATCGAAACGAATTCTGCATTCGGCTTGCACCGACAACAGTGTTGACGTGTAGATGGATCATGGGTTACAGTACCCTTGCCGTGAGGCTTACCGGGGGAGGTTCTAGTGCTCTTCCTTTCCATGTAACGCAAATGCGGGTTATTTCAACGCCTCTTGTAACTGAAAGCCTCCACACGGTTTTTTGTAGGTAGTCCGATCAGACCACTATGAAGGATATCCTCTTTCCGAACGAGCAACTTAATACAAAATCTGGTTAAAATAAGAAAGTGGTAGCAAATACTAAAAATTTGTTTTATTTATGAATATTATTAGTTTGCCTTATTCACTTGACAACCACTACAGATTCAATTCTCAAATTTGTGCAATGAATTTCTCTCAATTACTTTTACAAAAGGGTATGGGTTCATGCGCACAACTGGTTCACATTTTAAATTGTCTGCGGGGACTACTCATAAAAGACCGTGTGGAGGCTTTTTGATGTAGGAGGTGATGGTTATTTTCATCAAAAAGACCTCCACGAAAGCAAATTTATCCCAATAGCTTGATTCAGGAGTTCCCTTGTCTTCTGGATTGGATTCAAATTACACGGCTACGTAGTTGAACATTAGTCGTAAACCCGAGATTCGGGTCGGCTGTTCAACAACGGTTATAAAAAATAATATAAAATAAAATGTTATGAGAGATACCATAATATTTTCTCAATTTCATTACCTTTTTAAACTTTTTAAAGGTTGTCGCAGCCCTGATATACAGTGATGAACAAATTTAAATGAAATAGTGAAGTAGTTAACTTACCACACCCCACCAGAGGGCGTCTGCGAAATTGCTGAAATTCTCGGGATTGGCTTCTTTCTCGGCCAGGAATACTAGGAATGACGAGAAAATGAGGCCCAGAAAACCGATGTAAAGAGTTGTAAACAGCTCCTGGAAAACAGAACCCAGCATTAAATTTCAGTTGCTTAATAATATTGTAATTTATTACAAGCTTTGTTGCCCGGCCTTTGATTGAAATGGGACATAAAATCCTTTTAGAGCAATTTTCATTTTCGAAAAGGATGGCTTCAGAAATTATTCAAATTTTGTAATTCGGGTTTATTCGCTCCAACTATTCGGAATGCTTACGATTGAATTTTATCAAAAGGAATGTTTAATTTATAATTAATTTAAATGTGATGGACATATTTTATTGTCTTTAATTATTTCGTAATTTTTAACAGAGGTTGTTCTTTCAGTCATAAAATACATCCCTCTATCTTTTATTTACGCTTTTATTTTAATCTTCTGTAATTAAAAATATTTTAAATCATTTTTGCAAGATGTCAGTAAGTGGAAAGATATTTGAATGAGCTATTTGTTTTATATGTTACATTTTGAATTTTCTCCTTGTATTTTTCTTGAATTTTAATTTTCTCTTTTTTGCTTGATATGTTTTATTTTGTATTTTTTGCTTAAGTTGTTTTATTTTCGTTTCAATTTCTTTGACACTTTTCACATGATTGTAGTGATAGATTTTGCTTCAGTATTAGTATTAACATTATTATTAATACCATATTAGAAAGCAGTCTTTTTCTGAAAATAACCGTGTGAGCTGACGACGAAGATATATCTCTTCATTATTTTGTTTTCTTGTTTTTTAATTTTTTTAAGACATTTTAAATAAATATTTTAAAAAACATTACAATTTTTAATAATTTTTCTTCTCTCTTTCTCTTTAAAAATGTTTCTTTGTATTTTTTAACTTATTTTATGAGTACTTGCAGCTTATGCACAGTAAATAAAACTTACTATTTTTTTTTCTTTATTTTATTCCTTAATCTTTCTTTTCTTTTGTATAATGTATAATATATTAAAGAAAGGAATTTATTAAATTAAGAAATTAGTTAAAGAAAGGAATTTATTAAATTAAGGAATTAGTTAAAGAAAGGAATTAATTAGAAATTTATAAAAACAATGAGCATTCATAAGTTTTATTAACTGCTCATAAGCCGCAAGGATATAGGCGATATAATAAGATAAAAATAAAAGAGAATAAGGATAGAAATAAAAAAGAAATTAAAATATAAAAGAAAAGTTATTAAAAAAGTTTAAAAAAATATTAAAAAATCTATCAAAAATTGAAAAAAAAAATAAAAGGCTAGGAAGCAAATAAACAAAAAGATATAACCTCGTCGTCAATTCATATAATTGTCTCCGCAAATTATAGTGCATTCTAGTATTAAATTTATATAAACAAAGCAAATTCTATCAATACAATAGCGTGAGGAACACTGAAAAAGGAAAAGAAGAGAAATCGTGACGAAAATTAAACATATCAAACAAAAAACACAAAAATACAGAAAAATATAAAAAAAAACAAAAATGTCAGAAAAATATAAAATTAAACACAAAAAGTAACATTTAATAGAGGAACAAGCGAAATCAGACGTCCAAGAGTTTGAACAAACCGTTGAAAAAATTTTATTAAAAACAATGGATATTCAACTAATGTACTAATGTAATTTAATTCCATATAAAATAATTGAGTTAATTGTTTTTTAAAATTATGAATAAATTTCATCATGCAAAAAAATTTTTTGTCATTAAAATTGATATTTTTACCTTGTGCAAATCCAATTTCGTGAAATCTGCGGCTAAAAATCTAATATTTACTGAAAGAGTTTTTCAATAATTGTTGATAATTTCTCTAAAAATCATAAAAATTAAATTGTTATGACTAAAATTCAACCCATTTAATATAGGTTGAATTTTAGTTATAACGATTTGTTATAAATTCTGAATTATAATGCGCAATTCCAACTTCGGGGCCAATCATCTAAGATATCAGAAAAATCAAATGCGGCTTGCAAATATATATA